CGGGGACCGCCCGTTCTCAGGCCGCGCGGCTGCTCCTCCCGGCCGCAGGGCTGTGTCAGGGAGCTCGGCTGGATTTTCCGTGTTTTTAAAGTTAGAACAACCCAAGGTTTATTAATAAATCCCCTCCGCGGCTGCCCCTGTGCTTGACCCCCACAGCAGAGCCCGACAGATTGAGGGTAAAACTAAGAGGATGTTAAGATTCTCAGCCTGTCTTTTGGGGATGTGGGGTTAAATAGGGAAGGTTTTTTTAAAGCTGCACGTTTGCATGACTGAATAAATGTTCTTATTTGAACAGTCATTGCTGGCTCTGCCAGTGAACAAAGAAAAACAAAATGTTAATATCACGGCTGAGTTCCCAGTTACTGAAGGCTTCAAGAATTGCAGGTAAATTGGTGTTGTGTGGCCAAGATTTCTGTTTGTTTGGATTTATTTTATTTTCCTGGGCTAATTGGGCTCCCAGAAGGTTCTTTTTCACCAGGCAGTGCAGGAGAGGAGAGGCTGTTGTTGAGTCAGTGGTTGTTAAATGTTTTTATGTCTCTGATTTATTATGTAAGTATGGTGTGGCTTTGGAGAAGATTCCTTAGCAACAGAGAGGTTTGACACAGCTAACACTTCCTTAGCATTCCAAATTGATTTTCAGTCAGAAAACACAAGAACGTTCCCCTTAATGGAATCGTGGAAGGGTTTGGGTTGGAAGGGACCTTAAAGGCTGTGGAATTGCAACCCCTTCAGCTCCCAGTGAAGGGGAACCTTTACGGACCATGGAATTCCAAATTCCTGCTGGGCAGGGACACCTCCCAGTGAAGGAGAACCTTAAAGGACCATGGAATTCCAAGCCCTTCACCTCCCAGTGAGGGAGAACCTTAAAGGACCATGGAATTCCAAGCCCTTCACCTCTCAGTGAAGGGGAACCTTAAAAAACGTGGAATTCCAGCTCCTGCTGGGCAGGGACACCTCCCTTTAAGGACAACCTTAAAGACCATGGAATTCCAACCCCTGCAGAGCCTCCACCCTGCTCTGCCTGCACGATTTGGGCAGCTTACCCACTAAAATATAATACATTTTTAGCGTGACAGCATTGTAGTTAAAATTGAAAAACCGAAGGCTTGAAAATCCCTCCTCGCTTTTGTGATCTCAGTTCAACTTCTCTGAGCATCTCCCTGTTTCACCTTGCTCTGGCCAGCTCTCTCTGTCAGTTTAAGATCTGGGCAGAGCTTTTCTCTGTAAAATCCTGCCGTTTTTAAGCACAAACCTGTGGGATCTCAGGATCTGAGTCCTGAGGTGCCGAGCCACCGAGACCACCCTTGGGG